GCGATAAGTGACCGACGGCGGGGCCGGCGCCATCGGTCACATATCGAGAGGCGCAAAACGTTTAACACCTGTTTGGGAGCTTCTGGCTCGGAGCCTCACCCGGCCGTGTAGGTCATTGCAAAATCAGGGCGCCGTAGCCCAAACGGTGCATGCAAAGATGGTGATCAAACAATAAATTTAGGGAATTTCAAAATTAAATTCGCGTAAAGTGACCTCCAAACCCCCTACGGACGGCTGAAACCAGTACCAAACATTGTGCACGAGTGTGAATAACTACAGTTTAAAGCGTCACTGAAATCTGACTGTATAACCGGGAAACCCTCCCTTGTTAGTGGAGTAGCGAGTAAACTTGCAACACTTCTGAGTCGAGGGCCGAGGGCCCGGACCTGAAACGGTCACTTGTGGAGCGGACGCTTATCGTGAGGTGACTGTAAGTGCACGTACTACTAACCGGCATCGGCGTCGGCGGTGCGCTATTAATTAATCCATGGCATACTTGGGTGATTATCAGAGTTATTCCGCCTCGTCGTTCCATTTTGATCTACGCTACTGGCCCCCGATCAACCCAACTGTATCGCATCCCTCTGAAAAGCTCGATTGGTCCAACAAAGCGAACATTAAAGGTCCTCATGTCGATGGCAACTAACTGACCTCTGTCTTTCTCGTCCTTGGCGCGCCTCCACTCGGCGAGGCGTGTGTCCCGCTCGGCGCGCTGCTGCAGGAAGGCGCGCCGCCCCGACTCTGCCCAGCGGCGCGCCGCCGCCCGCCGCGGCGACAGCTCGCGCTCCTGCACGCCCGCCCTGCGCGCGCGCGCCCGCCAGTCCAGGTAGCGCCGGTACTCGCCGTCCAGCCGGGCGCGCTCGTTGGCCTCCGCGTGGCGCCGCGCCGCCGCCTCCCGGGCCGCCTCCAGCTCCGCGCGCTCCAGCCGCCGCCGCTTCAGCTCCCTGGAGAAGGCCGACGAGAGCGCCGTGGGGGCTGGAGGTCTAGGGTGGGTTGGTCAGCGAGCATCTTACTTCTGAAGCGCCCGGTAGTGGTTCCACGGCCGCCTTTCGTCTAGCTTCACGTGGTCGATGACCCCAACAGCGATGTCATCTTCGGTGGGCTGCGGGGTCGACTGGGGCTTGGCCTCTGTCTTGGACTCCGTCTTGGAGGGTGGTCTGACAGGGGGGAGGGGGATGTGAGGGGTGAGGGTGGAGCGAATACCAGGATTGATGACCACCCTCGCGACACGATGGACTCACCTTGGCTGCTCAGCCTCGGGTTGGCTGGCGGGTGTTGGTGGCTTCTCACAGGGATCGTCACCCAGGTGCTGCATCTGCAGCTGCTCGCCCAGCTGCTCCACCTGCTCCCGCTGCCGGTCTCGGAAGATCTCGCGCTGGCGGTCGCGGGCCTCGCTCACTTGTTGCATGCGCTCTTGCTCGCGCGCCTCCTCCCGGT